GGAAGAACCCAGAGCTAAATCAGGCTCTTAGCCCGAAACCACCGCTGAGCCGGAAAGCCAGTTGCAATATTATATTATAACAAATAGACAATGGAAATGGAATCGTGGTTTTAAACCGTAGCAGCACTACAGCAGGGAACGTGGACAACGGGAGAAAAAAAGAAAAGCCAATATTGAGCCACAAAATGCCGTCAATATCCAAACACAGTCTTCAAGGCATTTTTTGTGTTATAGTCCCCCCACGAACGAATCTGGATTCAAATGTTCCCACCCAACAACGATTTTCGCCATTTGATTTGTGTCACAGAGCAATTTGAAAAACAATGTAAAATAATAGCCAATAGAGGAAAAAACAGATTAAAAAAATATATAGATTTCAGTATTCCTGGAGGCCTTTGCCCACCCATTTATTTCCTCATCGACGGCAAAAAAACTCCGACCATTATACATTTAAAAATAAAAGGGATTAGGGTTAGCCTTTAGTGTTAAGATATTGAGTAACAAAATGTTTGTATGAACTACACAGCTTCTTGGTATTCCAAGACCCGACCGGAGAGAAAAGACGTGTGTTGCCAGGCCACGAAACATACCTAACATAGAAATACATTGCTTTAAACCGTTCCCTGTGTGACACGAAAAAAAATGTGATAAAATCGGTGTTTGGGTGAACACGAATCAATAGATTAAATACATTTTATGGTGACTTTATAACACAAAATGCTGTTGAGACTGGGTTACAATATCAGGAGGCGTATGCTTTTGATGGGATTCAAGTCAATAAACAGCAACCCTCCCCCCAGGCCAGTGTTTTTTTCTGTGGGGAGAACTGCCACAGCCAAACTCTCGATGAAACCAGCGCACCCTCCAGAACATCTCAGCAACCAAAACCACCATCCATGTTGGGTAAGCCACCAGAGTAACAGATCCCTCGCAAGAGGATGTGGCCGAAAAAGCGCTCACATCAGCCAAAGCCACTGGAGGCCATCGGACCCTAAAACTTCCTAAATAGTGGTAAATTGCAGTGTTATACCATAGGTTTGTGTTATAATTGCACATTTGGTTTTCAGTTACACGGTGTTTAAAAAAAAAACAAACAAAACCCTTCTCATCGCATTGTGGTCACTACATTAGAGGCTGCTTAATTGAATTATATATAATATACATACATATATGATATGCATAATTTTATATATATATGGGCTATGCACCATTTGAGTGTGTTACAACTTAAAATCATATATGCGCACACGACGCACTCATGTGTTGGTCTTGCTTTTTCCCTGCCCATGTCCATCTACAGAGCATAGAAACAGGAACACATTCTTTAGTAGTTATTAATACTCTTGAAAGAATAATCGTGAGGAACTAACGGATCAATAAGAAACGTTGCTAAGAATATTTCCCTCCTAGCACTAGGGTAGGGGCCTGTCATTTATTAAAAAGTTTTAAATTATAAATACAGCACGTGTAATACTCCCTGGGCTCCTTCAGTGGGCAACTTCATCCCTTCGGAGTGCCAGGGTTTTAAACCAGACCATGGGTACCCCCTTTGGGAAGCCAGCATAACTGCTAAGAAACCCTTGGATTTAAGCCTGTGATAAGGTAATTGACAAACCATCCCTGGTGATTTTAGAAAGAAGCTTTGGAAACGATTTGCAGCAGTGAACCTCCCGAGGAACACCCACCGAGGGGGCAGAATAATTGCAGGTACAGCTTAAATTCCTGTGAGGGAAAAACCTCCTAAATTTGGTAGGTGATTAAAATGGTACAATGGGCCCGGCTTGGCAGAGAAGGATTCATGGGGTATGTCATAGAAAGAGCCACGTAGGAGAGATCAAAAGGTCTTAATTTGGTCAAATGTATGATTCATTTATTCCATGGTAACGAAATTGGATTTTACATTTATTTCCATTTTTTTAATTATTATTGTTTATAGTAG